TGATGCCCTGTGGGTGCAACAGTGACTGACACGGTTTTATGGCTCTTTAAATTGACCTGTCAGAAGACAGGGAGAGAGAAAGAGAGAAACACATGGCCGAGGCGATGGGGACTGGAATGGCAGGGGAAACAGCAACACATACAACTGGAAGCTTTGAGTGTGAAATGCTGTGATGAAAAGGAGGGAGACGCTGCCTGGAAAGTCAGTAAAGAAGATAGGAAAGAGAACAAACATGCAGGAGAATTAGCTGGCAAGATGGATCTCGGAGAAGAGCTAAGAAGCATCACACTTGGGACCTTTGTTACCCCTCCATCCCCCATATCTCTTCCTCTCACCCTCCCAGTTGCGAAGGGAGATCCAACTAGTTTGATTTAGACCAAATCTTCGCACTGCCCCGCAGCCTGCGGAGAGAGGAAAGAAAAAAATCAGGGTGGACACACAGGCTCATCCCCAACTTCCTTCTCTAAATGCACACACAGAGCAAAAGCAGAATGCAAGGAAGTCTTATAAACTCTGCTTCAGGTCAAGAGCTACACAGATTTCCCCTCAAGTGAGCAGAAGAAAAGCTCAGCTGGGACTACATCTCTGACCATTGCCTGTCCAGAAAGCAGACCCATGCAGTCAGCAGTCTCACCGCCCTGAAACAGGGCTCCCCTCAGCTCACCTCCTGCGCACACACTCACAGAGTGGCTCTGTTCATGTGCCCCAACTCCTCACCCTTTGGCTTTGGAAGTCTTCTTGCTGGCCTGGCGCTGGTTGGTGCCAGGGGCTGGCTCCCTGAGCTCTGTTAGGTGCTGTTCTGGGTCCTGGGACGTGGCTGCTGCAGCGGCGGCTGTTGTCACTTTAATGGTCTTCTTCAGGTTTGCCACCTGCAGCAGCAGAAAAAACAAGAACTGAAGAATTTCCCAAGGTATTTAGTTTGTTTTGTTGTGGTGTTTTTTTGTTTTAATTTGTTGGTGGGTTAATTTTTTTTTTTTGGGGTGGGGGGAAGGAGGGTTGGGTTGGTTTGTTTGGGGTTTCTTTGAGCCAAGTTCTGGAAATCAATGCTGCAAGCTCAGGTCAAACAAAAGAGCTAACAACTGCCCAGACCCCTGCACTGCAAAGGAATGTTAGGCTGATTCAGGACTCTTCTGCAGGCATGATGCCCTAGGCTGGTCTGGCCTAGGGAAAAGGTAATGCCTTACTTGAGCAAGGCCCATAACAACCACAGGGTACTGGTTCCAGTTAATTTAAAGTGAGGGACACTGGCTGCTCCCTCCTCATGCCACTCACCTCACTCTCTATCTGCTGCTTCAATGCCAGCTGCTGCTCTTTATGCTGGTTGGCCCGGCTAACCTGCTCCTCAATGCCCGACAAGACAACCTCACAGCCCTGGCACCTGCAGAGAAGATGTGCAACTGAACAGGCCAGGTAATTTACATGGCATAGAAAGAGATGTGAAAGATGGCAACTTTCAACTCTAGAGGCCAAGAAGACCAGGAGGTGTCAGCTTCCCCAGGCAGGGAGGACATGGGAGCAAGAGTCCAATGTGATAATGTGTGTAGTGACACTACTACCTGGGAGGGTGGCAGAGAACAACGCAACACTAGCTTAGGAACTGCAGGCTCAGACAGCACCCTGCCAGCAGCCAGGACTGTGCAATGGTTGCTGCAGTCTCGTCACCCCTCTAGCCACAGACAGAGGAATTTGGAAAACTACTGTTGGAAAATTACTTCCCATTGCAGTACGGGAAAGGGGACCGAGTAGATCACCTACAACAGTACCCCCCAGTGACACACAAAGGATCCGGGGAAGCCACCCAGCCACTCCTGCAACCTTTTTTGGGTGTTAGTATTGGGGGCTTCCTCCTCACCACTCCTGCAATGTGCGGGTGATGGTGCTTAGCTCCTCCCTCCGGATGTCCCTCCCAATGCTGTAATCCACCTCCAGGCGCTGGTTCCGCTGATCCAAGCTCCCTCGCAGCACATCTGCGTACACGGCCTCGATCACAAGGTCCTCCAGCTGCCGGACGTTCTTCAACTGTAACTGCTCCAGCAGCACTGAGTAGGGGATGCACTGTGGAAACACGGTGGTAACTAGCATGAGGTAATCCCAGTGGAAGGGGGAACTGGGGAAAAATAGGGCCACTACCTTGATCTTGGCAGCCAGAGTGACGACTGACAGGTGCCTCAGTTTGTTCTTCTGAGCCTCTGTCAAGGGAGGGAGGCTTGCTGCTTCAGCTATTGGCAGGGGAAAGAACAGGGTGTGAGAATTTATGCCTCTTTTTCCATTTCCCAGCTCTGCACAGAAGCATCTGCACCATACCTGTTTCTTAAAGCACCTGCACACCAATCCCCCAAGTGATGCTTCATCTTGCCAAGCCATCCCCATTAATTCTCTGCTCAAAAGACCTTTTCTGAGCAGCTTTCCCCCCCTCAACCCCAAGGCATCCACTCTAGCTGTCTCATGCCTTATTTACATGGGTCCGTGCATCCCAGAGGATACCCAAGTCCTTCCCCTTGCCCCTCAAAAATGTCTTTGTCAAGACGTTCGTTGAAACTCCCCACTCCGCTGGCAAACGGCAGCACTAATTACTGCCAGTGCTATCAATTACTCCTCCAGTGGTCCGTGCGTGTGCCGGGCCGTAGTGCTGGAGGCACGGCCCTGCCTGCAAAGGGAGCAGGTTGGGTGAGATCCTACCACGGCCCGTGGCTCTGGCTCGGTTTCCGCACCGAGGGACCACGACCCGGGGAGGGGTGAACCGCGCTGTGTCCCCGCCG